AGCTCTCACGCTACTGTTCTCTACTGCTCTGCGCTCAGCTCTCACTATCTCAGTCAACTCATACTTTATTACCAGCAAAGCGTGGAAAACAACCGCTCTGACAAAAACATAATTTTACTCTCCAAAAACGTGGAGTTCACATTTGCATCTCAAAATACAATCCATTGATTGTCTCTCCCCGTGGAAAAAACATGGTCAACACAATTACTGTTCACTCATGCTACCTCTCTGTTTTCATGTGAAAACATTGTCCGTTACATCATACTACTTAGAATAGATGTTTTAACACTGATATACTTGTAGATGTCATACTACTTAGAATAGATGTTTTAACACTGATATACTTGCTGGAGATATTCAACTCAGAATAATTTTTTATAATACTATATAAATAGAGAAGATGTTACCTCCAAGATGAAAATATATTTTTGATTACAATAACTTGTGCAAAATTATTATATTTTGAGCAAGGTTATAATAACTTGTGCAAAACTGTAACTTGACATCTTTATAAACCTTTAGTTTGAAAGCAATTTTTACAAATATATGGCGTTTAAATGGAAGTTCGTTTACATGGCCCTTTTTTTAAATGGAAGTTTGTATACATATACATTTGTTTAATGAATATTGTTTAACGTATTTTTTTTTTTTTATGAAAGAGAATGTAAACATATTTGGGCTAACGTCAACTTTTTAATTACATTGATTGTTGTAGTTTTATTTTTATGTTAACTATGTGGTTTCCTTTTAATTTTGAACACGGACGCACGATCATTTGAAGTAAATTAGTTGAAGATTTTCACTACACTACATGTGAACCATTATCGAAGTTGTTTTTGTCTTATATAAAGCATTTTTTTTCCCTTTAGAAATGAGAGTTTCTTATCTTCCAAAGCTAAAAGAATTTCATTTAAGGGATCCAAATGGCGAAGAAATTATAAAGAAAACAAGGAAAAAAATTAATCCAAATTTAAACACATATTATATAATTAAACGCCTAACTCTCCCGTTATATTTTAGAAAGTGGTGTTTAAAAGTATGTCGAACAAACTGTTAGTTCCTGTATAACATAAAAATGAAGAAATTAAAAAAACAAGCAAAACAAATAAAACACATTTCTATACGATTCAAAGAAACAGATAATTGAACGCACACACATTTCAAAAAAAAAAAAAAACATTTAATTTGATGAA